AAATTTTTTTTTTGAAATTTTCAAATTTTGACCCGGCCGGGTTATGAAAACTATTTAATTAATTTTGCATGGCCTTAGATTGTTGTCAAGTAATTTTGTCCAAAAATTCTACTTCGATAGTTTACGTACATCGTGATATTTGATAGGTGCAAATTCACGTGATCTGGTAGGTGTCCGGAGACTTTTTTTTAATTTTTAGTGTCGACAGAGATAAGTCACGTGCAAGCTATGTTGTTATAAGCCCCCAATTTTAATTGGCTAACTAATGTTGGGAAATTACGTGAAAAAAATCGATTCTATGTTCCCAATAGTGTTTTAATTATACTGGCATAATAAAAAGGGCAGTAAAACCTGATACCAGGTATAATACCGTATAACATAGTATAATCACCGTTATATGTACGCCCAGCCTAATATAGCTCAGATTCTTTCAGAATTTTCTAGTTGTTTATATCAGAAACCTTCGGAAAATCATGTAATCTCGACTTCGCACAAATAAAGCAATTTAATTGGCTAACTATTTCTAACTATTGGTATTATACTTGTGTGTATAATACTCTAGTATTATAAAACGCTAATTCCTGTGCAATTGATTTACATACGAACACTGGAGATCATGCAGATCAACTAATAAAAGGGGTTGTTTACATCGATCCTCAGGATTTTGTTTACTCGATAATTAGTTACTTTTCATAATTCTTAATATTCGTCTTCAAGAAAGACTCCCTTAAATTAAAAAAGGCAAAAAACAACTGTAAGGCATATCTAGTATTTTTTTTACAAAAATCAATCATCTAGTTATTTGGCAAGTGATATTATATGGCCATAACAGTAATATAAAGAGTTTCTTTAAATAAGGACTACTAATTCTAAAGAAGGAATTAGTTATGTATTTTCCTTATTTATAAGAAGAAACAATTTGTTTGCCATTGTGAGGCCATCTAAGTTATATTGTAAAGGCGGCTTTCCTAGTAATATCTACTTAAACTATTTGGCGAGAGTTGTTATTATATGGCCACAATGTGTAATTCAAAGAATTTCCTCATGGTTGCTCTTGTGAGGCCATCTAAGCTATATTGCAAAGATGGCTTCTTAGTAATACAACTTAAACTATTTCTTTTGCCCTTTTTTTCACCCTACCGGTACTTTTCCTTTCTCTTTTTCCTTTTCTTTCTCCCTTTTTTTTTCTTTTGTCCTTTATTTTCGCCCTATTTTTCTTTCTATTTTGTGAGAGTTGTTATTATATGGCCACAATGTGTAATCTAAAGAATTTCCTCTTGGTTGCTCTTGTGAGGCCATCTAAGCTATATTGCAAAGATGGCTTTCCCAGTAATACAACTTAAACTATTTGGCAAGAGTGGTTATTATATGGCCACAACATGTAATCTAAAGAATTTCTTTAAATAAGGTCTATTAATTCTAGACAAGGAATTAATTATGCGTATTTCTTATTTATAAAAAGAAACAATCTTATAGTTGCTCTTGTGAGGCCATCTAAGCTATATCGCAAAGGTGGCTTTCCCAGTAATATCTACTACTATTTGGCAAGATGGTTATCAAACAATCTATTGTAATTACTAACAGAGATATTGCTACTTAATAAAATATTGTTATTACAGTAACTATATATTTCATATATTGTAAATTAAGGATGAAGTCAACGAGAAAATTTCATCGGGTAATACAGATTATGACACATCAGATGATAATCAAAGTCTATCAGACGATAACAATGAAGGTTCCTACGAAAGTCCATCAGACGATAACAATGAAGGTTTCTACGAAAGTCCACCAGATGGCGATATTGTATTTAATCGGTATTGGTATGATTTTATTGATTAAAAAAATAAAAATAAAAAAATTCGTAGCACAAGCAAATTTTTTTATATTTAACTTATTACGATTGTTAAAATCCACATGTTGAATATTAAACAACTGCTAAGCGCTATATGATTTTTGCATGTACCTCAGCAAATGCAACCACAACAAAAAGCATTATTCTTACGACGAGACAACTCATACTTTCACAATTTGGTTTATTACAATGACAGCCATCATTTTTCTTTAAACATTGTTCAGTTTCTTGTTTGGATGTTTCATTTGTAATATTTAGTGGTCAGGTTAAGTTTTGTTGAGCACCAGCATTTCGTAAAGAAATAAATTT